GGAGTGATATCACTGATGTGGGGATAAAACAGCAGGGTAGATAAACCTTTGTAAAACATCTTATACTCATGCAAATACTCTTTATTAAAAAAGAAAGAGATTAAGAAAGCAGAAAATAATTGACAAAGGTGAAACTCTGTTTAAAGGGAATAGTCTTCTAAATTATCCACAAGGCCTCGTTTGTGCTTTGAAAGATTCAATACAATTAAATATAACCAGGCCAAAGGGACACACACTAGTCATATTTCATTATCGAAATAATTTTAGAGGGGAATTTCATGGCTTAAACTTCTATAATGACTTTCTCATTAAAAAAAAAATACTATTTTCCATAGCTTTTTATTGTGAAGAACCCATGCAAATTATAGCACAAATTACAGAGCAAATTGGCAACAGGCAACTAAAAGCAACATATGCAGAAAGCTGTCAAATATAGAGTATATACATGGAAATGCAGAGTGATTTGGATGCCACTGTCAATCGAACAAGATATCTCGTGCTATTAAAAAAACCAACACCCTAGCACACACATCAGTAGGTGATATGACTGGATTCCACATTTCCAGCAATGAAATAAACCACTTTCAAATGGAGACAACAACATACTCGCCATCAATAAAATCAAGTGACACTTCTATGTGAGCAGGGAAGGGCATCTCTTGGGTCCTCGTTTGCTGCACCACCCAGTCGCCAGTGCTGACGGCGAGGACTTCAACAGGACACTTTCCATGCTGTGGGAAGGGAAGAGCACTAACCTCCATTTAGCTTTAACAGGTGTGACAGTGCTGCTGTAATGCTTCAAATCAACTTGGCAAACAAGCTACAGGGCAAGCAGAGCATGCTTTATCTAATCCTGTCCCTTCAATAGCTTTAAGTCAAAAAATGAAGTTATGCCCCAGCTAAGGTTTCTGTTGTTTGGGACACTGTAGGTTTCTGAATGTAGATGAAGTCCCTAATAGCAGTATCACTTTAGAATTACTGTGGGGTTTTTTTAATCTTTTAATAATATTAACACTCAATTGAAAAAAAAAACACCAAATCACACCTAATACAACAGCCAACCAGCTGATTATATTCAGACCATCCAAGTATCTTTTTCCCAAAAAAGCTCTCGTGTTCTACCTTACGGGGTTTAGGCACTGCTACTGAGCCCAACTTGGCTGTTTATGAAATTATTTAGACTTTAGGTATTGTAAGATTCATCAACGCTCAGTCTAGACAGTATGTCTTTCTGCAACATCTGACCAGCTGTAAAATGCTGGGATATATACACAAATGTACAATAAAAAACCAAAGTTTGACATATGGGCTGTTGCTACACTAAGTTTGCACTCCATTCATCAGGACATTAATGAGACATGACTTCATTTCTAAAATGTGCATGTTCTTCAGACCCCAGGAAGCATAGGAGGAGGGTTAGAGATGGGAAATGGCAGTCTGGGAAGCACGTGTGACTTGTCCAAGCTGAGAGCAAAGCAAAGGATGCTGTTCTCATCCCTCCTCAAATCTTAACCAAGCTCCTCCTCAGGGGGACAATCTGCTCGTGCTCTGCAGTAGGCACTCAGCCTTTTTTCTTTGATTCCATCCCAAAACCATGGTTACGCTACTTTGGTTTGGAAATGCTAAGATTAAGTGTGTTTTTACCAAGACATTCACTGTGCATGCAGAACCAACGAAACAAAAAAGCACAGCCCAAGAACAAACCAGCTAGATATTTTGCAAAAGCTTTAACTGAAAGAATATGTGACAGTGGGATACAGAACTATCCTCCTGCCTCAGCAGTGCAAATTCCAGTCCTCAAACTTATCTTCAGACTGTACTTGACTCCCACAGTTAGGGATGCTTAGGTGCCATTTACATTTTCCTGGCAAAATATTCATTGTAGTGACTGAAAAAGAAAACCACCACTTTTTCAGACAGTCACAGGGATCAGAAATGAAGTATGCTTCTGTGAGAACCAGAAGTTTTGTACATTTTCTCCCCTGCTCTGCTGGACTTGATATTTAAAGATGTGTGCCCCAAGCAAAACTTTTGCTAAGTAGGATATGCAACCGTCTCTGGCAGATGCCAATAAAGAGGTATTCATACTGAAGCCTTTATCTCAGGACACTTGAATCAATCTCTAGCCCCTCTCAGCAGTGTATTTTAAGGAAACATTTATTTTCTATCTCTCTCTCTGTCCAATGAGCTGAATTGGCCACAGGGTTCTAAAGCTGCAAGTGGCAACACACAGAAAGACACATGGATTCCATGATGAAGTAACTTGATCTTCTCCAGACTGAAAGTGTCTTAGGTTTTCTTGCATAGCCTCCATGTTTAGTATAACAGCATAGAATAATCTATACAGAACCTGTTTTCTTGACATTTAATCTAAATTTTCTTTCAAGCCACTACATCATTTCTGTTGCTATTCTTCAGCACCCTCTAATTCCCCCAACACCTCTGCCCACAGAAAGCCCAAATAATTGACCCTTTTTGTAATACTACAAGTTCACGTCCAGTACATTGTTGAGGGCACGCTCTATTTCAGTATTATATGCTATCACAAGACCCATGTTTTAGCTTTTTTACATGTGCAGTCATTTATATTTTTCTCTTCTAAATCTTTTTATAAGTACTTCTGATTCTGGCAGACAATGTAACATCAAGATGAACTGGACAGTATGCATTCATTTATTTCTTGCTCTTTTACTGACATTTACAAAATAGCTCTAGCTGTGTTCCCAACAACACAACTTTAGAAACCTACCCAACAAAGGTTAGAAGGAATGACAATTTTGAAATCCTTACTTTAAGCCACCACACAGGTGTTTTTAATGGACAGTCAAACACTGGAACATTTTTTATTAAATACTGCAGGTGGAGGTTAAAAAGGAAACCACAAAAACTACTCAAATTGGAAACACCTTAATTTTCTTAAGTAAGGACACCTACAGGCAACTGATGTGTGCATTGCACAAATCCAAGCTAGGCAGAGGCGTTACCTGAACAGACAAGTATTTTTTCTTGTAAAGCTGATGCCTCTTGATTGTTCATAAGAATGCATATAGACTATACACCTGTTGTCACAGAGCTGTAAAGTTTTTCTTAAACCACCAACTTAGTAGCTTTACAAAATGCATGCATATATTTATGAACACTAGACTTAAAAGTACTTTTTAAACTGCTAGGAGTTCTTTTTTTCATCTTCTCCACAAGATTTAAAAAAAATAAAATTCTACTGCCGGTCCATGAAGTAAACTAGAAATGTAATACATTCACAGTAAGTTCTTTAAATAAGTTCTTTCATATACATG